CCCCCGAAAATGTGTAGTCAACGGTCTGTATCTAATTTCTGGGGCTGGGGAGCCTGCAGAGGAGCCAGGTGTTGTCCGAGGCGGCGGGTTCCAGTCGCTGGGGGAACACTTGGCTCCCTCTGGTACCTGCCAGACCAGCACTGCTGGGCAAGGGTGTGGGCGTCCCACAGCCACGGGCCCCGCGGGCTCCGATGCGGGTGGTTCCTGGGAATGAGGGCCATGTCTCGGGCATCCGGCCCCGGCATTTCACAGAGCTCTCCACCCTCCCAGTCGGCGGAGTTTTGGCCGCGGTGGGAAATCAGGCAGTGGACGGTCTACACAGACCACTAGGACTGCACGCCGCACGCCCACTCACTCGTTCTTCACAGTGCGTCCCGGGCACCTGCTGGCTGTCAGGACTCGGGCCCGCGTCGGCCGTTCATTGCCCTGGGCCCAGCAGGTGGCACCTGGGCCGGAGAGACTGGTCCACAGTCCTTGGGGACCCGTGTCCCATTGGACCCAGCCAGGTGTGGCCTCCTGGCAGCCCGCTCGACACTTCTGGGGTGACTGAGTTGGAAGAAGCTCCCACCCTAAGAGTGGAGGGGAATCTCATTTATGTGTGTTTTTCTTGAACTCAGAGGTGCTTCTTGCTTGAGTTTACTTGAAAGTGAAATGAACAAGGCTGTGGGTGCACAGGGAGCGTTTGTTGTCACCGATGTTATTGTCACCGATGTTGTCCCCAATGGAAGCCGCTCACATCAGTCATCAGCCTGGATGTCGATGGTGACGACTCCATTAGGTGCCGCGTCTCAGTTCCATGCGAGGGGCGTATACAGTGCCCGGCACCCCGCGGGCACTCAACAAATGTACGTACGCATTCAATACGCAGGCAGGAAGTGAGCGATGGAATATTCCAGAAGCCACTTTTAAAAACAGACGGAGAGGTTTTGATGCGAGAAGGCAGGGCCGGGGTTAGGTCTGTGGGCAGGAGCCGCTCACACCTGCCCCGCTTGTCTCCACCCCGCACTGTGGACACTGGGGCTGGGCAATCCTTGCGGGGGGGTGTCCTGTTCATCGTAAGGTATCTACCCATATTCCAGGCCTCTAGATGCCAGTGCCACCCCCTCCCCAGTTGTGACATCTAAAACTGTCCCTATTTATTGCCAAGTGTCTTCTCGGGGTAAAATCACACCCGATTGAGAACCTCTCTCGTCAGGTTGTATAGAGAGAAAGGGGTCCATTGCCAAAAAGGGGGGATTAGACCATTCGAAGTAGGCGTTTAGGAGGTGCATCCCCCAGCGCCGCCCGTCGGAGAGCCCTGGGCTAGGGGTGAGTGCTTGACTCTTCCGCTGGGCTCTTGGCTTTGGAGGACCCTGCTCGTTTGGGCCCGGGGGTGCCCCTTTCTGAAAGAGGAAATGAGGGAGCTGAGCACAATTCCCCCCCAACCCCACCTCTCCCAGGAGGGCTGGGGCAGCCAGGGAGCCTGAGCTCCCGGGGAGGGCATCGGTAATAAATGGCCCATCATAGCACCAGCTGCCGTGTTTGGGCACCGAGGATGCTCAAGCCCCGCTCTGAGCTCGCGCACAATTTATCTCATCAGATCCTCAGCACCGGTCAACTACCATTAGCCCCATTTCACAGTTGAGGAAACTGAGTCTGAGAGAGGTTGTGTTAGTGGCCCGGGTCACCCAGCAAGCGTGGAGGTTAGAGTCTCCCCCATCACGCCGTCCTCCAGAAAGGACGGGCCATCTGCTCTCCCACAGCTCACCTGAACGACGCCTCCTGGAAAGCCCCCCCGGAAATGAGGGGGGCTGGGAGCCATCTTGAATCAGGTGCAGAGAGCTTTCAGAGCAGGGAGGCCCCGCCTGCATCCCTCCCAGTTGGCCTCCGAGAGCTGGGTGCCTGGAGCCCCTGCAGGTGGCTCCGGAGGCCCCCCCACCTCTGGGTTGACCCGACCCTGGTCTCGGTGGGCGGCTGGGTCCTCTCCAGCTGATCCTGGTGCCTGTCCTGTCCCCGCAGGGTGTTCTTCCTGAACGTGCCGTTAGACTCTGTCATCGAGCGGCTGTCCCTGAGGAGAACCGATCCTGTCACCGGAGAAAGGTTTGTGCCAGGCTCCTGGGGGGCGGCCATCTGAAGGCTCCGGGGACAGGCCCCACTGGGCACCTCCTCCCTCCGCCTGACTGACCGATGCTCAGCGGGACTGCTCCAGGGACAGCTCCGGTGGCTACTGACAGAACGCTCTAGAAAGGGGTGCACCCACTAGCTCCCCTGGGCAGCCCCTATCCACCCGCTTTGCCTGGAAGAGAAACCAGGAAGTGAACGTCGCGGGCGCCACAGCTGTGGTCGTGACCTTCGCCGGTGCTGTCTGACCCCAGCATGTGAGCCGGCCGCCCCCGCAGGTGTCACCTGTGCGTGTCACTGGGCCTTTGTTCTCACAGTGAGGCCGCACACATCCCTGTGGGAACCAGGTCACCTTTGAGCCTTCCCAAGGTCACAGGGGGTGGGTTCTGAGTTTTATTCTGCAGTCTCACCAAGTACAATCACCATGTTCGCGTTGAAATGCAATTTAAAGTCCCTGCAATCACTAAGGGGTGAAAGCTTCCAGTTACCCCAGCAAGCCGCGTTTCTTGGCAACCAGGACCACGTTTCTTGGCAACCAGGACCACGTTTCTTGGCAACCAGGACCACATTTCTTGGCAACCAGGACCATGTTTCTTGGTAACTAGGACCATGTTTCTTGGCAACCAGGACCACTCCAGGAGTAGAGTGAGGGGGGGCCAGGAAGGAAATACCAGGATTTTTCTAAACTACAGGCCTGGTCTGTGCTCTCATCCTGGCTGTGGGGGGACAGCCTTTTGCTGACCCCCCTCAAGTAGGATGGCCATCAGGTCGCCCTGGGGTCTCTGCCAGCAGGACTGTCTGTGGCACTTCCTGTCATCTCCACTCCCATTTGTCGTTACCGTGTCCCCTCCCCCATTTCACTGGAAGCTCCAGAAACACGGCATCGACGTCCGTCTGTCCTGCTTGTCATTGCGTTGTCCACAGCAGATGAAATGCCAGACGTAGAGCAGACGCTAAACACACATTATTTGGAAGGAAGAAGAAAGAGAGGCAGAGAAAGGAAGCAAGGAATTGGGGCTTCATCTGTGGCTCCATCCTGTCCCGGTGTGGACCGCATCTCCCTCCCCTGGGCGGGGACCGTGTTTTGGTCTCCTTAGCTCCTGCACCCGGCCGAGGCTGTGCACAAGGCCGGTGCACAGTAAATGTTTGCTGGTGGTGACCCGCTTGGCCCACGGTCGGACAGAGGGCCCGTCTCCCCCGCCGCCTGGGCTGCACCAGGGTCGCCTGCATCCCCTGCTCTCTTGCAGGTACCACCTCATGTACAAGCCGCCTCCGACCATGGAAATCCAGGCCCGTCTCCAGCAGAACCCCAAGGACACTGAGGAGCAAGTCAAGCTCAAAATGGACCTGTTCTACAGGAACTCGGCCGAGCTGGAGGAGTTCTACAAGCAGGCCATCACCCTCAACGGGGACCAGGACCCCTACACAGTCTTTGAGTACATAGAGAGTGGGATCATTCACCCCCTGCCCAATAAAGTCCTCTGATGGGTGCAGAGCAGGGACCATCCCCAGGGAAAGGAAGCTGATCCCCCGCCCCCACCTTCTGGAGCCTCAGCCCAGCCAATAAAGAGCGCTGGGTGCAGTCCCAGACCCGCGTGTCCTGAAGGGAGGTGGCTGGAGGTGGCCTTGTTCTGGGGCTTGGGAGCGCAGGAGGGGCGAAGCCCAGGGAGGCCTCGCAGCGGTGTGGCGAGCGGGGCAGAGCCTGGGTGCGCTGTGGCCTCAGTGCCCATGCCCTGTGCGCCAGGGAAGTCACTGACCTCGAAACTCTTTCTCTCCCTCTCCCTTCCTCTCTCTGAAATCAAGTAAAAAATTTTTTCCTCAGTGTAAATAGCCCCATGTGGCTGGCTAGTGGCTGCCGTGCAGGACAGGGCAGTTCTAGACACGCTCAGCTGTTTTGCTAGAACCCTGTAAAGGGCCGGACTTCAGGCCCCCCCGACATGCTCCCCTGTGACCCGCAGAGCCCACAGGGCCCAGGAGCGGACAGGAGGGACAGACAGTCTTTGGAGTGGCACTGTGGGCGGACAGAGCTCGTGATCTTCTTTCGAGAGCCCTGCCCTCTCCCGCCATTGCTCTCTTACCTCGTTAGGAAGAAGGTTGGGTGAGCCCTCCACTGACAGAAGAGGTCACTGTAGCCACAGAGGGTAAGTGACTAACCTCAGGTCGCTTGGACTCATGGCTAGACCCGAACCCGGCGCTCTGGGCCCTCTGTCTGTGGGGCTTCAGCAGGCTGGGTCTGTCCGGGCTTGAGACTGGGGTTCCAGTCTCTGAGCTCTGGGAAGCCTGGGGATCCCTGGCCTGCTGGCTAAAGCCCCTGTAGCCTGGGGTGGCCCAGAGTCCCTCCAGCAAGGACCTGCCCCGGGCTCTGGCTATGGAGTGACTGCGGTGGCCGCTGGTGTGCACTCACCTACGCCTCCCTGGCCTGCCTTCCGGCTGCCCCAGTCACAGGCAGGGTGGTCCCAGGCCTGTCACCGGCAGGGCGAACCCCTGGCCTCATGGGGCTGGCCCCTCTCCAGAGGTGATGTCCTCCCCTCTGCACCCTTTCAGCGGGCAGCTCAGCCCCGGCCCTGCTCAGGCCCTGGGTATGGCCTCCTGAAACTCCATCAGGGCCCTCCCCCGCCCAGGCCCCATTTCTTCCCAACCCCCACGGGGAAGACGGTGTCTACCCTTAAAGTCCCTGAGCATGGGTTCCTCAGGCCCCAGGAGGCCCCAGAAGGGGTCCTCGCTACAGCCCAGCTTGCAGACGCTGTGCTCAGTACCCAGCATGCGCTGTGCCCGCTGCATCCAGTGCCCCAGACGGGAGGAGACCGTGAGTGGGAAGGAGGCCAGCTCGGCCTGGCTGAGGCCCCCATTCCCCGCCCCCCCGCCCCCGGGCTTGTTTCGAATACCAGAGGATGAAACCTCACTATACTGGTCCTGTCTGGTCAGCAAAACACCATTTGGACGTAAATTCTTAGCCAAAGACAAGACATTATGAAGCAGCCTTCTTTTTTTTTTAACCCTCACTTGAGTATATTTTTTCCATTGCTTTTCAGAGAGTGGAAGGCGGGGAAGAGAGAGAGAGACATTGGTCACCTCCCACTCCTGTACCGGCTGACCCAGGGCCGGGGACTGAGCCTGCAACTGAGGCACATGCCCCTGGTCAGAATCGAACCCGGGACCCTTCAGTCCCAAGGGCCGACCGCTGTAGCCACTGAACCAAACTGTAGTCTAGGGCCAGCCACTTCTTTAGTTAGCGGAGTAATGCTTGCTTTGTGGATGACCTCTCCCCTCCCCCACGCGAGAGCCGTCCTGCCCTTTGCACCCACTCCAGGCAGCACTTTGTGAGGCAGGTGACTTCCTGCCAAGACCAAGGGCCCTGGGATGAAGCAGCCTGGGGCCACAAGCGGCCGTGTGACCTTATGACCTCAGGATCCTTGTATGAGAACAAAATAGTCCTGGCCTCCTAGGCAGCACTGGCAGGCTCTGTGGGGTGAGATGAGTGATGGGCAGGCTGGGAATGGGGCCCACGCACAGCCACGCTCAGTAACGCACGGGTCTCATTCTCTCAGCTCCCCGGGCTGTGCTGTTTTATCCATAATTGAGGGGGGCGGGGCTCAGAGAGTTAAGTAACTTGCCGAAGGCTGCTAGTGGTGAGGCGGCTGGGGCTCATGGAAGAGCTCAGCCAGCTTATGGTGCCACTGTCCCTGGGCGCTGTGGACTCTGCAGGCCCCAGAGGAGCTATTCCAGTGGGACCTGAAGCCCTGGCCTTCTACGGGCTCTATCAAGTCTTAAGAAACTACTGAGTGTGTCTAGAACTGCCCTGCCCAACACAGCAGAGGGACCAGGCCCCAAGTCCCTGGACCCAGAACTCCACGTGAAGACAATGTGGCACCTGCCCCCCCCGAGGCAGGGCAGGGGTGAGTGGCCTTCCGCCAACACCCTGAGGAGCTCATCCCACCGCCTCCTGCGGGCCCTGGGGCATTGACTGGACTCTGGCACCGCCCTGGTGCAGGGACAGCACAGGGACGGGCCTGGCTTCATGGAGAAGTGTGGGGCACCTCCCCGGTGGGCCCCACATGATCCTGCTCCTATAGGTAGCTGCCCTGGACAGGCCGTGAGCAGAGGGCCCTTATCCCTCCGCTGCTTGGCAGGCAGCTCCCTGCCAGCTGGGGCTGAGGGCTCTGCTAATTGGCCTAATTGGGCGGCGGTGGCGTCATTAGCATCCGCTTCCGTTGCTGCCCTTGATCTGGGCGCTTCCTGGCCCCCGAGAGGCCCAGTCCTGTGGCCTGAGGGCCAAGGTCTTGTTAACATCCAGATCAGCAGGTGCTTAAAGGTCACTGAGGTTGGAGTCACTTGCAAGAGAACAAATCTTTCTGATGTTGTCATGAATGTAAGTCCTCAGCTCATTTTCAACCTCTTTTATCATAAATGCTCACTGCACTCTCCCCTCGCTCGGCCCCCAGTGCGTCACCCTGGCTTATGTCTGGTTAGAAGGTCCCCTCCCTGTCTGCTCCCCTGGCAGTGGGAAATCCAGACCATGCGGGGTCCCTCTGGGTGTTCCCCACCCCCACCCGCAGTCCCCGCAGGTGTTTCTCCTGGGGGACCCTGTCTGCAGCTGAGGAGACCAGTGTTGCACCTGCTGGGGACTCTGAGCTGCCCAATCAGCTTCCCTCCCCTGGGAATTTGGAAAGAGAACTGGGGGCAGCTGGTCACTCTTCTGGCAGCTTGCAGGGAGAGGGCATTTGAGGCAGCAAGGCCCACCTCATTCAGCCAACAAGTATTTATCTAGCGCCTACTCTGTGGCCGGCCCTGGGGATACAGTAGAGACAAACAGGAAAAAAAATCACTCCCCCCTCGTCTGAGGCTTACACTTGACAAAGATGGCAGAAATGAGAGAAAAAGACCATCTGATTTCTGAGACGCACCTCTGCCCTTGGTCCCCTAAAACATCCCTCTGTCCTCCCAGCATGCACCTCTTTGTCTAGGCATCTGGCAAGGTTGGTGGCACAGAGGTGTGGTCAGGACGGGTCTGGAGATGTGCCAACAGCAGGTGAGGACGGGCTGGTTCTGCCAATCTTGTTTTAATGGCAGTGCTACCACCGAAAACTTCCAACAGTATTTACTCAATGGGATCTGGCAGGATTCCCCCTAGGGGAGGTGCAGGTGACATGGTGACTTAAGTTTTGAGGCGCATGTGATTTTCAGCCATCTTATTATGATATGTTTAGGCATAGTTTTCATTTTTTTAAATCCTGTGTGGTGTTCGACTAGCTTTTCTGGTTGTTTTCAGCAGGAGTGTTGGTCTGAGTTACGCGTTTATCGTTGTGAAGTTCGTGCGATTGGTACTTGGTTTATGGACTCACCAGATGCTATTAAGCTGATGGTGACATATGTGGCCTAAGATGTTACTGACGCTGTGGGTTATTTCCTCTTATGTTCCTCATACATTGTCTGGAGTAAACCAAAGGCTGAGTTGATTCCGAGGTGGCTGCCAATGGCCATTTCTCTCATGGTCACAGCCCCTCCTCTGCTCATGTCTGGGCATGACTGTCAGGCCTAAAGCAGTTTCTAAGCTTCTCTACACTCCACATGACCATGATAAGATATGCACACAACACACAAATAATTCTGTTATTTATTTATTTTGAATAAAAAATTGGCCAGGATAACAATACTAGCGGCTCTGCATACAAAACACAACACATTCAAGGTTATTTCACATTTTTACAAACCTGCCGCTATGTACAGCACTGGATATTCACAGCAACTTGATTAGACTCTAAGGACTTGGAATCACACGAGCAACGGGGGAATCCAAGGCGGGGAAGAGCTAGAACCCAGTGGTCTCTCGCTAACTGGAGCCCCGGCCGGCGGCTGAGAGACAGGGTCTCTGTTCTGCCTTCTGCAGTCATGACAGGGCTACAGGTTGACAAACACCCTCCGGGACTTCCATCCCTTTTCTCTATAATCCTCCCCGCTTCAGACTCTCCCAGAAACCTCTGCCCTAGGGTTAGATAAAAGCTCAGGACACTGGCGCGTCGCCTCCAGGGAAAGAGGCTGAATAGTGCTAAGGACACGGCACCGTCAGGTTCAACCCAAGCAGCTCAGTTCAAACCCAAGAAAGAAATCGGCCGCCTCTGGTCATGCGTCCTTTGCAGTTTTGAACACTCTGGAAAAAGTGAACTGTGCTTCACTGAAAGGTGGCAGGAAGCTACTCACTCACATGTCATGAGCAAGGCACTTGACCTTAGGTGCTGCCGGAAGTACCAAGACGAAACAGACAGTCCTGCCCGTGAGGAGCTTACAATCTAATAACGACCACTATGTACATATCTACAATGGAGAGGAGCAGCCAATTTTTCTGGATGGGGGGTCGTGTTCCAAGCAAAATGTGTTATTATTCTTAAACTTATTTAAACACAAAAAGACTTAACACACCACCTGATCAGATGACAAAAATTTTTTTAAAAAATCTTCTTTTTATAACCTTAGGTTTTTAGATGCCTGTTCTTTTTATTTCAAAAAATGTCATACGTAAACATACAAAAATTCAAAGTCGAACACAAAGATTAGCACGGGCATTGGTAAACATAAAATACACATCAGTACACACAATGCAGGCTTATTTTTCTATACAGACTTATTTTTATATAAACAAGTTTGATATTCACTTTGCTTTCATACATTAAAGTACAAATCTGAGTCAGTCTTGAGAAAGACAGAACTGGTTTTTGCATTTAATTCTGCCTTAGTACCAAAACCAAAACAAAGTACCCTAAACCCTCCCAGCCTGTTAGCCAAGTGACAGACCTGCTGAAGAGTCTGAAGTGCCTCACGGCCACCACAGCCGCCTCCGTTGTCCAGTGCGACCACTTTACAGGGTCTTCCAATAAAAGGAACAGGGTTTCATGATGGCGAGGGAAGCAGTTTTTTATTTTAGAAATACACATAGCATTCAGAATTCTGAAATTTATTTCTCCCAACCCATTTACAACATTTCAACCAGACAGCCTATACCTCAGCTCTGTCAGCGCGAGGTCCACCTTTCCCTTTTTCCATCGCCTCCCGAGCCTGGAGGGAATGAATAAGCGCCCTGCTGGCAATCCCTACAGCACTGCTCTAACCCAACTCACTCAGTAGGACCTCCAATTGTGCATTAAGTCTCCTCACTAGAGTAAAGTTATAACTAAAAGAAAAAGCTAAGAAAAGCTGAGTCACCCACCAGGATAAAGACTGGGGGAGAAATATTCATACACCAAAAGGACTCACTTCTTCACAGGACACCTTTACAGTCATTCCCGTTAAATTTATTGTTTTCACACCAAGTTTTCAAAAACAGCCCTGTCTTAAAACAAAACAAACTACATCTGCCTGTGGGAGGCTGTAGCCCATCGACCACGGGCTCAGTCTCCCGAACACCTGCTGGTTCATCAGGGCGCTGAAGCTACTATAGTGCTTTAGATCACTGGACGCGACTCTACAGTCTGCAAACTTGACTTCATTCAATTCAAGGATAGTCAAATTTCACATGCTCTATAATCATGACAGCAGATATCATGTCAGCAAATGTGAAGACCCTAACTCCAAAAACCTCTTTTAGCTTCAAGAAAGAACAGTTGAATTTTAATAGCTCTGAGACTGGAGGCATAGTCTAAAACTCTGCTTAAAGCTACCAACTGACACTTCCACTAAAAACCAAAATGAAGACAATGCACGTGGGTTAGATCCTTTAGGGCAAGGCGAACCTCTAGACACTGCAGGCTCCCTGCATTGCTGGCGCCAATACACAGAAGAGTGGCCTGAGAACAGAAAGATACATTCACAACAGATCACCAGGCCAGGCAGAGGCTCGAAGCCATCCATGGTGGGCTAACTGCAGAGATTCATTTATTTGTCTTGCTGTTTGTGCTGCCCAATCTCTAAGAAGAAAAAAAGGCAGAATATATCTTTCCTTTAAAAAATTTAGGCTTCCTGCCCTGGCCAGTGTGGCTCAGCTGGTTAAGGATAGACCCATATGCCAAAACGTTGCTGGTTCTATTCCCGGAGAGGGCACATGCCCAGCTTGCAGGTTCAATTCCTGGTCAGGGTGGGTGCGAGAAGCAACCAATTAATGTTTTTCACATTGATGTTTCTCTCACCCCCTTCTTCTCTCTCTAAAAATCAATAAAAACATATCCTTAGGTGATGATTAAAAACAAAAACTCTCAAAAAAAGAAAATTTTGGGGAGGAGAGAGAGGTCAAGGAGCTAAAATCCAGCATCCTCCAGGACAGTGATTTCTAACCGGTGTGTTGCAAGAATTTTTTAAAAATGCAATTCCTCACTATTGAGTCAGGGGCACTGACTTCTTTTCCCTGAGACTGTCATACTAAAAAAATGACAGCAGCCAACACAACAGTGGCTTACGGGTGTGACTGAATCAAAATCATACGTATTTTTTTGGTCAGATCAGCAAAAAATAAAATATATTTTTTGGTGTGCTGCAGAATGTTAGTAATTAGTTCAGGTGTGCCGTGAGATGAAGGAGGTTGGAAATCACTCCTCTAGCCCAAAGTCCAGCCAAGAGTTACTGAGCGCTCTCACACAGAAAAGCATTGAAGGAAACAGACACAGTTTGCCAAGTTAACACTACCACCTTTAGAAAGAAAAATCTGCTTTTAGAAATTTTATCACTAACCTATTTTTCTTTCAAACATGAAACCTGTTCGCTCTGACATGTCCTAAGGCAGAGAGAACTAAAGGAAGGGAAAGCAGAGCGGCTGGAAGCACTGGGCTGACGGACTCTGGAAACTGACCAGGGTCATTCCCGGTCCACTCCAGGAGTGCAGTTCACCAAACTCCAACGCAGGGAAACTACGGCAGGGCCAGGGCTCCAGGGCCCAGCACTGTCGTCCTCCCAGCAAGCACTGATAAGCATCAGTTTCTTCCGACTTTTATCTGATACCAGATGATCACAACAAACTGTATTTTAATATTTAAATATTACCTTTAACGTTCTTTTAACCGAACTCATGAAACTCCCTAATGGGTCTAACCCACACGCTTCTCCGAGGGAGCAGCAGGAAAGCACCACGCTTCGCCACGTTCTGCAGACACTACAGTAGGTAGAGATCTGGGTGGTGGACACTCGAGGATTTCAGAACAAATATCAAGCATAATAAGTAATCAATTTCTTGTGCAGAATAATAGGAACAAATTAAGCCCAGGCAGAGAAAATGAGATACAGGTGTGGACACCAGACTCCCCAAATGCAACAGCGTTGCAGCTCACAAGGTTGAGCTGTGTAGAATCGGCTGCCATAAGCCACTCCAGAGGTTGCTGCAGTGACGGCTGAACCCCAGGAAACCCCTAGTCAGATTGGGCAGATTCCAGGAAGGCAGGGAGGGGATGCTAACTTTAACCCAGGAGAGGAGCTCGGTCTGGGGTTCCTGGTGGCCTCCCACTCTTCCAAGGTGTCCTGGTCGACACTCCCACCAGGTGTTCTGAGCCCTAGTGAACGGAGGCGTGCACCGTGCTTGTGCTGCCTTTCAGCCTCCCCATCCTCCCAGGCCAGCGGGTTCACCTCCACGGACTGGGTGGCAGGAAAGGGGTTTGCCTAAGAACTGCACTAGGCTCAGTCCCGCGGAGAAAAGCCATATCCTAGTGAGAGTGGCCGTGTATATTCCTACCAGACACACAGTAACCCGGGAGGACCCTCTTCAGTTAACTCCTAAGACACAGTAACCCGGGAGGACCCTCTTCAGTTAACTCCGAAGACACAGTAACCCGGGAGGACCCTCTTCAGTTAACTCCTAAGACACAGTAACCCGGGAGGACCCTCTTCAGTTAACTCCTAAGACACAGTAACCCGGGAGGACCCTCTTCAGTTAACTCCTAAGACACAGTAACCCGGGAGGACCCTCTTCAGTTAACTCCTAAGACACAGTAACCCGGGAGGACCCTCTTCAGTTAACTCCTAAGACACAGTAACCCGGGAGGACCCTCTTCAGTTAACTCCTAAGACACAGTAACCCGGGAGGACCCTCTTCAGTTAACTCCTAAGACACAGTAACCCGGGAGGACCCTCTTCAGTTAACTCCTAAGACACAGTAACCCGGGAGGACCCTCTTCAGTTAACTCCTAAGACACAGTAACCCGGGAGGACCCTCTTCAGTTAACTCCTAAGACACAGTAACCCGGGAGGACCCTCTTCAGTTAACTCCTAAGACACAGTAACCCGGGAGGACCCTCTTCAGTTAACTCCTAAGACACAGTAACCCGGGAGGACCCTCTTCAGTTAACTCCTAAGACACAGTAACCCGGGAGGACCCTCTTCAGTTAACTCCTAAGACACAGTAACCCGGGAGGACCCTCTTCAGTTAACTCCTAAGACACAGTAACCCGGGAGGACCCTCTTCAGTTAACTCCTAAGACACAGTAACCCGGGAGGACCCTCTTCAGTTAACTCCTAAGACACAGTAACCCGGGAGGACCCTCTTCAGTTAACTCCTAAGACACAGTAACCCGGGAGGACCCTCTTCAGTTAACTCCTAAGACACAGTAACCCGGGAGGACCCTCTTCAGTTAACTCCTAAGACACAGTAACCCGGGAGGACCCTCTTCAGTTAACTCCTAAGACACAGTAACCCGGGAGGACCCTCTTCAGTTAACTCCGAAGAGCGGTTTTCCCCAAATGCGCAAGTGCTTTAAATAAAAACAACGTGAGTCTCAAATGGCAGCAGCACCACACAAACGGCAGCAGTTCCCCGACAAGAACGACACTACCAACCCCGAGCAGGAACAAAACCTAAGCGAAACGAAGCGCTCATGACTATCAAAGCGGCGATGATTCCCTGACATGATCCCGACCGTTACTATCACATCTCTGGTAAAGTGAAACAGCTACAGGCAAAAAGCGGATCAACCACACCTGCCCACTACGCGGCTCATGATTCTAATGCTGACTGGTCCTTTCTTGAAAACCAACTTAACATGCCCGACACTAACTTCTGCATAGACGCCATTCTTGAAATTACCATCAAAATGAGAAATAGCAAGTGAGGCAAAATGTCTTTCACTAAGGACACAAAATAAAAGCAGGAGGTTGTGTTAGAGTCAAGGCAAAACTGATGGCATGTAGGAAAAGTCAGAAGTTCACATTCTGTATTTCCCATCCAGTTTTCCAGAGATACGCACCATTTCCAGCTGTGTGCGAACAGTCCTGATTAGCACCAATCCCTAGGATACTTAATGTAAAAATCCAAGAACACTAATTCCAGAATGGCTATTTTTTTATTTTAGGTTTTAAAACCAATTAACATTGAACACCTTTTAGCCCACAGAAGATACCTGTATTGTAATACCAAGGATGTCTGTGGAGAGAAGGAACTCGCAGCCCTGCCAAGCGGCTGCACATACAGTAGCGCCCGGGCGCGAGTACCACCCGTCTGAGCTGCCGTCTGTCTGGCAGTCTCTAGGCAGAGTCTACACTCCTGTACCAGACAGCAATGAACCATCTGCAAATGTCAACATTAAAAATACTCCAAAGTTTTAATACTGAAAGGAGAAAATATTCTTCTATGTACAGATATCTGTCTTGGTTATCACAGTTCTGTCGGAAGCAGGGACACGTCCCAGGTAAGCTGGAACACTTGACATCCTTATACACACTGAGGAGTGGGGGCAGGAAATCATATGACACGGGAGATCATTAAAAGTCAGTCACAATTATTAACTTACAAGAGTCATCTGACCTTTTGACACACTAAAACCAATTTTAGTTTTGGCTTCAACCTCTTAAAAATATAGTTTTAGGAAAATGTTTTCAAACAAGAATCAGAGAGGTGCAGTTCTGCAGCTGTTTGTTGAGAACATAGCAGGTCCACATGGTCAGACACTTGGAACATCTGCTGGGACACTGACACCACGTACAGACCATTTCAGCTCCAGGGAGCCACAGGCAGGCAGTCCCAGCCCGAGGTGAAGAGCAAATCCCGAGTCAGCCCACAAGGCCCTTCTCCTGAGTCTCTGGAAGAAATGACTCTGGAAACAAGAGGGCATTTCTTCAAGTGTTCCTCACTGGGTAAGGAGTGGGGCTAATGTTCACCTCAAAGTCACTTGGCTCTGCACCTAGTCATTTGCAGACGGCCTCTGGTCCCCGAGATAGAGGGTCACTTCAGAGATGACTCCAGCCTCTTCACAGACACAAGGAGCGCCTCTCCCCTGTGCGGGCCAGGCCTCCAGAGCACCCGTCTCTCCAGGCTGGAGAGTGCTCAGTAGATCACACGCCCTGTCCACTCCCACCACTGCTGTTCAGAAGACAGGAGAGTCGCAGAAAGGACAGGGGCTTTGCAGCAACCTCTTGATCCAGTCAGGATCTGCAGGGGAAGACAGAGGTACTGAGCATGGGCTTCAGAAAGGGGTCAGGTGGGTGAGTGGTGAATGAATTGCAGTGTCGAGAGCTGGGCATTCTGGTCCCAGCCCCCCACTCCCGACGTTCTAGCGAGGCTGGGGAAGCCATGGTCCCTGGAGCTCTCAGTGTGTGGTGACATTCTGATCCTTCTGTAATGATCCATGAAACAAGGGCACCGAGTGTGTGTTTCATAGAGCTGAAGTTCGCAACTTAAAGGACTATATTTTCTTCAGAGAGTATTATCACTCATACACTGTTTACGTTAAAATATTCTTTTTTGTAGCTTTATTGATTTCAGAGAGGAAAGGAGAGGGAGAGAGAGAGAGAAACATCAATGATGAGAGAGTTATTGATCCGCTGCCTCCTGCACGCATGTGCCCTGACTGGGAATCAAACCCCAATCGCCTGGATCCTAGGTTAACGCTCTACTGCTGAGCCACACCTGGTCTGGCCAGTAATCTTTAAAAGCGCATTAGTGGAGAAAGGAAAGCACGGCACCCTCCCCACCCAAGCGGACTGCCGCGCAACTCAGGGTCAACCGGCAGAGGCGCGTGTGAACCTTGCTTCAGTCTTGTCCTGGTTTCCTCCCTAAATGGTATACTAATTTTCAGTGCGCATATAAAGTCTCCCAAATTTGTTTCAAAATAATCCAGTAAGAGGAGGGGAGAGGATGGGGGACCACGGATGAAACAAAAAAAGGCCGTGAGTTGGTGACTTTTGCAACTGAATGATGGGCACATAAGGATTTATTAGGATCTTTTCTCTAATTTTGTGTATGATGGCATTTTCTATAAAAAGTTAAAACAACATAAGCTGCCAACACACCAACTTCTCAGAATCAGAAAGCTTCAGCCAGTTAAACGTCAAGCCTAAGGGTGCAGTTTTTTGCAGAATGTTTTCTGCTTCACTTCACTGAGACCAGGTTCCCCTCCAGAACGTGTACATAATTGTCTGTTATGACAGCTCATTTGGTTAGTGTGATGTTAATGAACCTCAGGGCATAAATTTGACATTCATGGGGTTGTTTCCATCACGAATTCCTTGCCCACATCTCTAATTTCATCTCCAACTAGTTATCTCAAAAGTGTTGGCTGTGTCCCGGCTGGCCTGGCTCAGCAGTTGAGCATCGACCTAGGATCCCGGAGATTGTGGCTGGATCACGGTTAGATTCCCGGTTAGAGGACGTGCCCGGGCTGTGGGCTCAATGCACAGTAGGGGGTGTGCAGGAGGCAGCGGATCAGTGACTCTCACATCGATGTTTCTCTCTCCCTCTCCGAAATCAATAAAGATATATTTAAAAAAAGAAAGAAAGAAAAGGAATGTGGGCTGTGTCCCTGGGGCCATCGGAAAAGACTAGAGACCAGCCAGAATAAAACCCCGTCATGGCAACTAGAAGGACTCCATGCACATATCCCATGACTATCCAGCAATGTCATTTACAGAGTTTTCATTCAAATGTAACTGATATGTCAGGTAAAACAATCTTGGGCATTTTAAAAAGTAATTTGCAGTGGCAACAAAACAGCAGACGTACATGCTAAAATGCAATATAGACTTGAACATGACATTCTGATCATCGATTTTTAATTAGTTGTGGCTTCGTGGTGATACTGTGGAGGGCAGTGCGAGCCTCACCCCAGCCGGCATGGGCCTGAGGCACTGGCATGCTCCACCTCAGCCTCCCCAGCTGAGAGGGCACTCACTCACCTTCTGGAGCCGGGTGGCGGGCAATGCTGTCGTGGAGCAAACACCTTCTGTATATCAGACTCTGACAGGACTGGTAGGTTAAAAAGCACCTGAAAGACATGGTATCATCAATTCTACCAACACCGGAAAGTGGCACAGTGCTGAGGGTAACTTGCCAGTTATTCTAAAAGCCATGGTAACCAAGCAAAGAGCAAACATTGTTCACAAATGCATGGCAACACCATATCTGGCTGGCTGGCTGGACTCCACCACCTGCACTGAGGGAAGGAAGCTTGTCAGGTTCCTAAGCGAGAGATACAAAGTTTCTAATGCACAGTCAGCAGCTTCTTTTTGGTGTGTTTGCAGCCTTGGGAGAGTTAGTCTGTCCTTACCTGATTGTACTTGGAATGTGTGGTATGCTAAAAAACTGACCACGTGTTATACTGAAAGTTATTCTCGTGATTAAGATTAGATACCAGCACTATCTCTAAGAATCTAACCACACAGTGGGGGAAACCTGGAGGATGCAGAAGACAAAATTAATGGTATAAAAAAGATGGGACATGGACAAATGTTAACAGGCTCAGGTCCATCCAGTGCTGTTCACTGCACATCTCCCAGGACCAGGCAGGCAAGGAAGGGGAATGCAGGGCGCTGGGAAGGAGTGCACTTGTGTCTGCAGGGCAGGTTTTCCCAAAAGATAACAGTTTTTAAGTTGAGCAGCCAAGGAGCAGAAAAATACAAAGAGGAAAGAGGTGGGAGGGAAGAGTCCAAGCAGGTTCACTTGGAGTAGAGACGGGTGTACAGGAAGGAAGATCGCACGGGAGAGCAAGCACCCACCCTCACCTCGAGGAAATGGAAGCATTCTGCCAGTTCAATCAGCAAAAATGCAAAGACTCTGTTAAAGAACCCATCGGGCACTATAATGTGTGGTGGCTACACCTGTGAACTCTGCAGCAAGAACGCCAGGTTCTAGCTCTGACATCCACCACCTGTGCTGCGTGAATGAGCACATGACTGACCTCCCCCAGGTGCCAGTTTCCTCATCTGTGGAAATGGAAATCACCGCAGTGTCCCTGTGCACAGTCGTTGTGAGAACACAGTGACTCAGGACACGTGCACCTCTCAGCAAAGTGCCTGCCACATTGACGGTGCCTGAGATGTTGGCAAGTTATTGTCACAAGCCGACTGCTACTACAAACTTGCACAGAAAAACAGGTCCAAAGATGGACATCAAGGACACGAAGCAGACAACTAAGAATGTAGGGTCAGAGGCAGGAGAAAAGCAGGGATACTGTGTCTAGGAAGCAAGGCGTTGGGAATGCTCTGAGCAGGGGGAGGGAGTGACCGACTGTGTCCATGAAATGAGGACTCGCTCAGGTTCCCCCTGGAGTGAGACTGAGGGCAGACAAGGAGGGGACTTCTATCTCTTACTATAAAGTTAGACCAAAAAAGTACATCAGCGCTTTTATATTCCATTAACGTTAACAGGTATTACTTTTGTAATAATTTTTAAAAATTCAATGCTACTTCAAAGGAAAACAGTATTCCCCAAATAAAGGCTCTCCTACATATGGCAAGCAGTAAAACTCTCTGACGGGCGCCTGGCTGCTGTCAGCCTGAAGTAAAGCGTGTGTGCCGGGTCTGATAACAGCAGTTTGCTCCAACCTCATGCCCAGGCAGTTCGTTTGGGACGAACACTTTACAGTGCTCTGTGCCACACGAAACTGAAAACGGCGTGAGAGCAGGATCTGCTGCAGAGGGCTTACCGGAGCCAGATGTGGCCGTTGGAACAGACGGCCTGCTTGCGATCCGTGAAGGGCAAGATCTCTTTACACAGACTACAGTGCTCGGGGAAAGTCTGCTTGTTCATCTTCTTTGAGATGTGGCCAATCAGCACCTGGTAAGACAAAGTGGTGGGCAACGTTGGAAGGCAGGGCAGCCGGCGCAGGTGAGTGACGCACACGAACAGGACGTGTGCATTTCCACCGTTCTGTCTGGGAAGTGGAAAGGCTAGACCTTTGTCCTTGCCAGCTGGCTGAGTGACAACAGGGTGGACTATAACCACTGAAGGAAAAACTGTTCTGAAAACCAGTCTTGTTACTTGCCTTGTTTTCGCTGCTTCTGAAACAAGGACTTCAGAGTTCTGTTAGAAGAAAAGCATTTAGCTATTACTTATAATGTTATGATTTTAAGAAGGGAAAGCATAATCTCTACATGCAAAATATTACATGAAATACTAACTTGGTAGAATTGTCCAAATCTATTCTTCAAGAAAGGATTACAAAGGAAAAAGGTGATCAGGATTAAAAATGATTTCTCCTTCTGATGGCACCAAGGCCTGAGCAATCCAGTCTAGTCACCTGCAGTGTGAGATCCACTGACCCTCGGCAGAGCTAGGGTGGGGCAGGACCCACTGTGGGGATGGGGGGAGGTTGACAGGGCTGGCGCAAGGCCTTGTCCCAAGTTCATCTTCCCCTTTCTCTGCTTTGGTCTTAGGGTGACACTACTTTAACAATGAAAGTCTGAAAAACACTGATCAACTTCATAATTTTGTAGGAAAAACCTTCAGTGGCTATATCTTTGGGATGGGCTACACCAACCCTTCAGAACCATCTTGTCTTACTAGCAGATAATGTCCTTTGAAGTTTTTAATCCATTTACGCTGGAGCTCTTGTGGAAGGACCCTCTAAACCTGCCATTCCCTAAAATTAGTTCACTGAAGTTTTGAAGAAGAGCAAGGGGGGGAGAGAGAGACAGACAGACAGACACAGGTTTTTGTTGTTCCACTTATTTATGCATTCACTGGTTAATTTTGTATGTGCCCAGACCGGTATCAAATCCAAAACTTTGGCATGTTTTGAGAGGACACTCTAACCAACCGAGCTACCTGGCCAGGGCCATAGTGGGATTTTTAAGACATGAATTGTACTGTTTTCAATCAAAACTCAGTTGCTGTTTTTCCTTCTTTAAGAGCCACATGACCAGGCTAAAAGGAGCTGCCCTGCTCACACAGCATCTGGACAATCACTTTACACCAGTGACTTCCAACCATCTTCATTTCGCGGCACATGCATACTCATTACTAAAATTTTGCGGCACACCGAAAATATTATGTTTTGCCGATCTGACCAAAAAAAAAAAGTATAATTTTTATTCATTCACATTGGACAGCTACTGTTGTGTTGGCTGTTGTCATTTTTTTATTTGACAACCTAAGGGAAAAGAGGTCAGTGCTCCTGACTAGTCAGGTATTTTTGCATGTTTTAAAAATTCCTGGGGCACATCAGTTGAAACTCACTGCTCTCAACCATCACCAACCAACTTCCATTACATATTTTCTAAAATGTTGAGTTACTATCTCATTGACTATAATATCCCTGCTAGGTCCTTGAGAAACAACGATACTAGAACACTCCACACAATTAGGCCACAATGAAACAAAGTTTAAAAGTTGACTTTTAAAAATGAAAGGTCAGTTTCATGAACAGTACATCTTAACTACTCTTGAAATTGTTGCAAACATCCTATGAGCAATAATTTCAGGGGTGTACACATGCGCGCGTGCACACACACACACACACACAATCTCTCTCTCTCTCTCCCAACAAGAAAATGCAACAGGTGATTGTGAACGGTTTAACATGAGGAATAACAATATCTGAATTCATTGCCTTCAGTGAATATTTTAAATAAGACTTCAGGCAATGAGATGTCAATCTTCGAAGTAAAAAGGACCAGGGCTTTTGTGTTGGTATACAGCATGTTCCTCGTAACACAAGTTCTTCAGTCTGGATGACACTGACCCACACCAAGTTAAGAAGGGTTCTCTTCTGTAGGGTACCATCTCAGAACCTGTAGGATAACATGCACTGTGAACCTGGAAGAGGGGTGTGGAGCACGTAGGAGTTCCCCAAGTTTGGAACCCTGGTATTGTCAGGGAACTTGAGTTCTGTGGACTACATTTTGGGTAACACTAAGATTGTTCTAATACCAAAATAAAGATTCTACCCAGTTTCTGTAAAAACAACACAACTAATTTACTTTATATGCCCTTCTTAACTAAATCAGACCTCCTCAAGTCTTTTTAAATGGAAACATCACCCCCACCCCCCACCAAAAAAACCCAACTTTCTGCAAACAGCAAGAGATGGGTGCCTGGTGCCACACTTCTGCAGCTGTGCCAGCCCAGTCACACACTACCCTCCCGAGGACAGCCTCCTAGAGCGCACCCTCAGCCTGGAAATCTCATCTTGCAAGCCCTGCATGTCACTCACAGCCACTGAGAGAGAACTCAACTATTTTGTGTGACAGGGACATGTCCTCTGCACCAACCCGTTTCCTATTTATTCTATAGCACCCTGTGCCAATCACCTACCTAAAACATGTCAAAGCAAAAACTGAGCTTTAGAAATTCAATACATGTCAGAGACAGCAGGCTTCCCAGTGTCTGCGCTGTTGTCAACCAACACCTACCCGTGCGGTTCGGTCGTCACACTCCTCGTCAGACATTAAGAAGTTACAGAGGCCCCGGGTGGGGATGCTAGTGTTCTCAGTGATCCAGGTGTGGAGGTACACTTCCCCCAAGACTCGCTTCATGTGCTCCCTGGTCAAGTGCATTTCCACAGCTTCGATCTTCCCCTGGATCTCAAGGAGTTTCTCCTCCATTGGCTCACGGCCGCCATCTCCAGACTGGGTGAGGGAGTCACCTGTGGGGTCCTCTGAGTCCCCCTCTTTGCTCCTCTCCTGAAGGCCTTGCTTAGTCACCTGTCTGGAGGACGTGCCTTCTTCTTGCTGTTCATCCTCAGCAGTGCCCATCCCAGGTGAGTCGACTAGTAAGATTTTTGAGTCTTCCTGGCTGGGTTTCCACAGGGCATCTGAAGGGGATTTCTGCATTGACTGATACAAAATCCTCAGGAGGAAAAGTTTGAAACGCCAAAAATAGGTGGCCCCACTGCTTTCGATCTTTTTTTCCAAAGCTTCTTGTAAAAACTGAGGGATATGTTTATCTTTTAGAATCTTCCAGCGTACCAGGTCTAGTAAATCTACCTGCTTAAAGAGATTCTGAACTGAAGATTCCAGGAGCTGAGCAGCTGCCTCTTCAAAGGTTTTGAGAGCAACAAACTGGACCTGGTAGTTTTTGTTAACAGGATGGAGGCCATTGAACATACCCTCGGTTGTAATGACGGCCAGATATGCACCGCAGGGGCTCACCGCTATCCCATGTGTCCTCACTGAGCCAAACACATCTGACAGTTTAATCAACTGGTGTTCAAACTTCAGTGCGACGTCTGTGAAAATGGGAATCAGCTGCCTCACCTTGCCATCGCTGGAACAAGTATATACTGTTCCGTTCTGCTTGTCTGCTGTCATGGAGACGATCGGCAGCGAGTGAAGGCCTGTGACGTGGGAATTGTGAACATTCAGACCTGCTTTGGAGATCAGTAGGAGACACCAAAACACATAGGGTCCTCTCGCAGCCACCACTAAGCTGCAGCTGCACTTCTGGTAAGGGTGATAAAGCGGGACACACCTGATGCTGTGCACGGGCAGCTGGTCCATTTCTTTCCACAAGACCACAGGCTGCCTTAAAGTGAAGTAGCCTTTCACTGCTTTGAGGTTGACAGGGAGGATTTTCACAGGTCCAAAAGCACTCCCCACAATAAGGCCGCTCATTTTCCGACTATTGTGTTCGTATTCCCACCAAAACAAGACACTCGGAGAGCTGATTCCCGACTCGATCGTGCTGCATGAGGAGATGGACTCCTTCCCTACAAAAGGCAGCTGAAACTGCCACACAGCGATGTTTCCGTTTTCAAAGAGGACGGCCAGGAGCACGCTGCCCACGTCCCGGCACTCATTGTTGTGCTTGACCTGCTGGGTGGTGCAGATGCCTGACCACTCCATCCTGACTGGTGTCTGCATGCTGTGTCTCCTCTGGAACTCAGAGAAGTCTGCCAGGCTCCCTCCCGGGGCCTCATTTTTAGAGAACCTGTAACTGGTCTCATAGAGACGTTCTCCGTAAATCTCAGTCAGATCGACCAGCTGGACCCACTGCAGTCTGTTGAGGTTAGCCTGGATGGTCAGGCGATTGTCCAGGGTCAGTGCTGCCAGGAGGCACCTGCTGTTGGCATCGCAACCCACGGGGGACCAGCTAGTGTATTTGAACCCTCTCATTGGAGGCAAAGCCTTCCCCTCGGGGTTGAACACCCTATCCAACATGAAAGTCTGGCTGACGGTTGGGTCTGGGGAGCTGGCAAATTTCTCCTTACACTGAGCAACTTCTGCTTTTGAGCCAACCTGAAAGTAAGAGATATAAAAACTATCAGATAAATATTCACTCTAGAAATATATGTATATTACTTAGGATGTATTAACTGAGTCACATTAGTATATACAGAAATTCTGCATCCGTTCTGTTAATTTTGGTATGAGATGCATCTAAAAGATCTAAAACTAAATGAGCATATACTCAGAGGATGGTGATTTTTTTAAAGGACTGGAATAAATGTCGTCATTATCCATAGCCTCGTTTCCACCATCTTAGAACTGACGTAAGCAATAAGGGCAAGAGAGATGCACTTGATTCTTAAGAGTCTATAGTATTGAGCCAAAGCAGTCACAAAATAAGGGCATTAAAATGCGTGAAAGTATACATCTTTGATACAATTAGATATCTGGATTTTTACAGTATCTTTGTAATACAAATGCAAACTTTAAGTTTTCTATCTAAAATTTCATTTACAAATTATGCTGAAAGTCAACTCCAACTGCTTTCCACCATTTATATAATGTCTGCTCCAATTATCTGCTATTCCCTGAACATTTCCACTCCTACCTTCCCTGGCTCCCTTGCCTAGGATGCTCTTTCCTCCTATTGAATCCCACCCAGCCTACCAGGCCTTCTGAGATCATTCTAGCTTTCATTCATCTCTCTGTCCTCCAAGTCTGTAGTGTACATCAGCAGTGCCTATCTATATGATGTTGATCTCTTTAAAAAGATTTTAAAGGGACATTGAAGATGGTGGAAAAGATAAATGACCAAAAGAAAGTGGTCCAGAGCCATAAGGAAATGGCCAGGAAGCCTAAAGTGGAAAAAAAGCAGGGGTCAAATAAAATATGGTTTCTGTTATGTCAGAAGTAAGAAGAAAGGACTTGACCACTGTGTTAGAGAAATGGCTCACAGAGAAAGCAAGCAAAATCTTTCCATTCCTTTTTGGTGTCAATCTCCTTTCACCTAGAGGGTGATCTTCAGACTGGAAAGGGTGAAAAAACGTGATTAAAAAGGAATTCAAGCCCTAGCCAGTTTGGCTCAGTGGTTAGAGAGTCGGCCCATGGACTGAGGGGTCCTGGGTTCGATTCTGGCCAAGGGTATGTACCTCGGTCTACGGGCCCGTCTCTCTCACATTGATGTTTTTCTCTCTCTCCCCCACTTCCACTCTCTCTGAAAAGCAATGGAAAAAATATCCTCAGGTGAGGATTTAAAAAAAAAAAAAAAAAGAATTCAAGCCTAAGACATATACAGGTATAATAAAAGGTTCTTTAAATGAGTTTAAGGCCCCGAGCCCAGAGGAACTACACTCCAGGACACAGAAAGAACTTGGAAGGTGTTGAACTCTGAACCACTAACTGCATTCCCTGATAAAGCTTGGACAACTGGGAGTGTGAGTGCAATAAATAGTTTAAAAATATCCCCCATAAGGTAAATAGGTAACAAAAGCTACAGACCATTAACCTGATAGGGAATGAAATTCCTCAACGTACTAACAGGTGACCGGTTTGTGTGGACAGCCGTGACCTTCGGAGATCAGCACAGGTAGCTGGAAAGGGTACTTTTATTCTTTTTTCTGCTGAAGCTGCTGGATGACAGAATAAATAATCATCTAAAATAAGGCAGGCATAAAGCTGTCCAACAAACGAACCAGATGACTGACTTTTCCTAAATTGTTACACAGAACAATACTCCCCTAAACTGTCCCATGAGAAGGAGTTTTGTGGCTACACAACATCCCCTCTGAAGAGTCACAGGAGCACATTCAATGTCTTGGCCAGGGAGCTACCGCAGAGAATATGCAAACTCTTCTAAAAAATAGAACCTTTGGGGGTGGGGGCGTCATCCTAAACAATACTCTAGAAATGGTGTCTTGGGCAGTGTATCTTGATTTTAGAAAGGCACTTAAGGTAATCTTCTGGATACACTTATGGACATGCTAGAGAAATAGTATAAACTGGAAATTCCAGGTATAGGTGCGGTTTTCTTGCCTGTACAACGTAATGCTAGTAAGACTCTGGAGCTGTGTGTGGACAGACACAATTTAAAACATGACACAATGAAGCCCAGACTGAAAACCTGTGCTCTGATGCCAGACCACCCAGGTTCAAGTTCTGGCTCCGTCACATAACAGCTGTGCGCCCCCCCCCCCAGACCTCTGGCCCTAATTTCCTCACTCACAAAGAAATACTACTGCATATCTCATAGTCAGGAAGGTTAAATAAGTCAGTATGTGTAAAGCATATATTAGTGAGTACTCAGTAAATGTTAGCTATGATGATTACTACTACCTCTCCGGGGAGTAAGTAAATGTAAAATGCAGGTTAAAGCTGTCCGACAAATGAAGGGTAGAGATATAATTGTTCACCAAATCCTGTAATACGATAAAGTAGAATAGTTAAGTTTACTATAAATAAAAGCTACTACAGAACTAAAAGTAAACTTACAGAATTTGTAGCCCAAAGCAGCAGCACAGGATGAAATAGAGGAAGCTCACGCAACCCTTGGTCCTACTCACTGTAGGGAGAATTCTTCATAAGGTGGAGCAGCATGAATCTGGACCCACAGGGAAATTCCTTACGGTTTTGTGCAGTAATTTCTAATACATTAGTTTGAATGAGCCTACTGCATATCACAAAATTAGTTGACAAATTAAAATAAATATTCAGATGCCCAAGGAATATACCACTTAAAGGGTCCAGCTCCCAGAGGCCCACCCCCAGCCAGCCATTTAACTATATACTATAGCCTTTCCAGTTGGCCACTATTACTACTAATCCCTACATATTTTGTAAGCATCTAACAAGTAAAAATTTATTTGAAGCTATTAGAGTAAGCTTCTCAAGGGCAGGAACATGATTCCAAAGACAGGCAACAGTTATTAACTTAACGTAGCAGGTGGAGTTAATACTTTTAGACACTCCTAACAACGGATACTCAATAAAAGCAGTTACACATGTTAATAGAATTTGGACTGCATACAACTACATGAGTTTCTAAGTCAGCAGTCCAATGGGAAGACTGTAACATTCTTAAATCACTATTTTATTGCTTTTCAGACTTATATCACATAACCCTAATGCCCAGGACAGTAACTTGAAAATGGTGGCCATGTGAACTATTATATAACTGCACATTTTTCTGAAAGAAATTCATCATCTAAACAACAGAATCGTAAGGCTAGCCTTCTAGCCGTGCTCCACACTAAAACCGTGATCCAGGGGGCAGAGTGTCCATTTCCTGTGTCAGAGAACAGGCAAGCTGGACAGCACTGAGTAGGTGTAAAACCCCAGAGATGGTCAATGGGTAGAGCCATCAAAGTACTGATACAGACTTTTTTTACATTCCTACCATTTCACCAGTGTTATTCCAGGGGTCTCTTTTAGAGTCGCAGGGACAATTCAGCTTCATTCAGCAGGCAGTCCTAGGCTACTGAGAACACTGATTAACGGTTTGCATGACACGCACACCAAAGAGCAGTGCACAAGACGAAGATGACACTATATTCAGGCAAGCTATTGGTCAATTATTAGTGGGATATATAAAGATTCCCCAATACTTGTCAGACCGTTGTGGAACCGACGACGGAGTCAAGTTTCTATCATTATACTACGGACGTCTTCCTACCCACAACCACGGCACTGACCGACTCCTGTCCCTCCATACTGTAAGCTTCATTTTTTTACCTTGAGCATTTACAGTGGGCCAGGAACTGTGCCAATTGGTTAATGTATGTGTTTATGTGTATACATATGTAAATGTCCACATGTGTATTTAATTTAATCTTCCAAAAAGTCTCAGTGAGGTAGGTTTTATTATGCCCTTTTATACAGAGGCCTATCTTGCTACCTTGTGCCAAAGCCCGGTGTCTTAACCTCTACTTGACACTGACCCAACAATCATCTTGCCTGCAGTCCAGCCAGACTCACTTTCCTGAACCATACCAGGTCAACCTGTGCTTATAAAACCTGAACAGCATGTTAGGGCTTCCTAGATGGAATGAAGCCAACCTCCTCCGACTGATCTTCAATGTTACCATATTGGCTTCACCTAACTTTCTCGGACTCTGTTGACCCATCCTTACTTACACCAACAATAGTGAATTACATTAATAACCTTAAATATGTATATGCAAGAGATGACACCTTATTCCTGCCACCTGGGTGGCCCTCTCCTTCCTTCCTCTTACAACCCAACGGCTATCTTCTTTTAAGACTGCTGCAGATTCCCTACCAGATAACCTCCCCAGAGAAGTGCCTCCCCCTTCACTATTCCTCTTTAAATGCTCTTTGCTAAAGTGCTAAATCTCTACTGTACTGACACACAACACTTGCAATTTTCTCTAGCTGAGGTACATATGAACATCCTTAGATACAGTAAGTTCTTTTTCTGCAGAGGATACACTGTATTTTTGGTTAATTCTCACCCAAGGATATTTTTTCCATTGACTTTTAGTGAGAGTGGAAGGGAGGGGGAGAAGGGAGGAGGGAGCACTTGCCCCAACCATGGCCAGGGACTGAACCTGCAACCCAGGTTCGTGCCCTGTGCCCTTTGGTGGTGCACTGGCTGAAGCTCTAACCACCTAGTACACCAGCCAGAGCAAGGATACACCTTTTAAAACCCCTTTCTTCTGCCTCCCTCCTTCAGTGTTTTTCAATTTCATAGCATCACCAGCACTTGTCCACCTGATTTGTTTATATTTAGACCAATTTGTTCATATCTTCTCCAAGAAGATCTTAGAGGGCTTAGTAACATAAGTTTATCAGTGATCTAATTCAACACCAAGTTGTCCATTTAAAACTTGAATTAAGTATGCTAAAAAGTGGTGTGGGCTTTCTGCATTTAAAATGGCTGTGCAGGGTAAGAGGTGGTTCACTTTCACATAAATACATTCTCTGTACGCAGATACATAACTTTACAGCGCTTATCACCATCTGATAAAACACTAGTTCATGACTTGCTAAAGAATGTAAACTCCATGAGGGCAGGGACTGTGTTGTACACCGATTTATTTCCAGGGCCTCAATCAAAGCCCAGCAGATACAGTGTATCCACATCTGTCCGCTTTGGTAGGTCACATAGACACACAGAGATCTTTAAAGGAAACGGAAAGTTTTTACAGTGTACTTTCTAAACCACGAAAATGAACCTTACCTATGACTTACTACTTTAAAAAAGCGAACTTGAAAATAGTATTACGACAGTAAAACTTAGGAACCCTAGGGTTCTGAAGGCAAACTTAGTTTCCACGAAGCTGCAAGCACTAACTTTACGCGGAGGCCTTGGACTCGAAGTTTAAGGGCTGCATTTATGGCCAGAGGCTTTACTTTTCAAAATTCCGCACCCGGGAGGTTTTTAGCTACTAAAGAAAAACTGGAGTACAGGCTCCAAGATCTCGCCCCTCTGCCCGGGGTGAGAACCACTCCTAACAAAGTCGCTGGAACAGTTAAGACAATGGGAAGGGCCGACGTTGCTTCACCAAAGCGAACGAGGAGCCAGAGGAAGGCAAACAAAGCC